AGCGCAGATAGCTCTCGTGTAGCTTTGCGCGAAATTCAAAAACAAAACAAAACAATCACCAAACTTTGTTAATTCCCGATGTGCAGCTCTTAGGTTTTAGTTATATAAAATGAAATTATACGTAAGGTTTCTTTAGTTTGGTGATTGTTCTTCTATTTCACATTGTTTAGCTATCCAGTGTAAGATATCGATTAGTTTATTGACTAAATTGAATTAATAGAAAGTGCTACGATTGTTTACACGAGAAAAACCTGTTTTTGCAAGGTAAATATTAACTAACCATCATACTTATAAAGTTTTTATGAGAAAAAGGCTCAGGCCAAGCATCTGTAACTTTAGAAAATCTGACACGAGAATTTCGTTTTGTACTTGTCTGGTTGTACTCACAATAAGGTATTAGTCGCACTAGCACAGTAAGTTTAATGATCTCTTAAAGTTTTCCTTCACTTTTATACAGGTATTGAAAGAATGTTCCACATGTGTTTTTTCGAGATTGGTAAATGCAGTGTTCTAAAAATAACTTCTTGGAAAGGTCAAGACATTAAAGATTTAGTTACAAGTTGAAATTAGGCCACTTATGTAACAGATTTTTTATTAAATGAATTTTTATAAAAGTTACTTTCTAAACATGAAATTCAGTTACTGCATAAAAATTGTGTGGTTAAAGTGTTCAACCTTTTATACATAGTTAGACTCCATCATACTTGAGTGTTTAATCTGTTTTGATTTTAGTTTTACAGTATAATATTTTTTTAATGTATTTTTTATGTAAACATGCAATTTTGTCATAATTTTAAGATTTCATAAAATAAAACCAATCGTAAGTAGACTCAAATTTAAACGTTATCTACTTTAATTACGTTTATGATTTACTCTTAAAATGATAAATCCCATTAAGTAATACATTTTTGGTAAGAGAGATGAACTAAAAATACCCATAGAAAATGCAATGAGGTTTAGTTCACATAAAATCTCATAGATGGCAACTAGCTCGAAATTTTCAGTTTGTTTTCAATTTCATTGATGGTGTCGGTACATTTTCACTTACAAAGAGTTCTGCACTTCTACCTAGTATAATTACAGGGATAAATAACTTATTAGTTTTATATTCATATAATTTTGTATGCATTCATTATTACACGTTTAGATCGATATGAAGCGATACTGTCTGATAAATTATTTTTATTAATGTCTTGAAAGAAAAAAATTGTTGTAATGATCATCTGGTGCATAATACGAGTCACAGATTTGTCATTATATATACATGTACAAGTGTAAAAAATAGGAAGTAGAAATGGGAGCCTCAAAAAGTAAGGGAACAAGGTAGGAATAGGCATGATAACATCAGAACACTTGGTTTTTGACACTGTGCAACCTCAAAGTGGGCGTGGCCATCGTTCCGCACATTCGTACTTCGTGTGCTTTTTGCAACTTGTTGATTGTTCAAACTATATGAAAGATGTATATAGCTAAATTTTTCTGTTGTAAACTTTGTCTCAACAACCAAGTACAAATATATGTATGTAATCAAATTACGTGACTCTAAGGAAATGCATGACATCATAAGGGAGTGGGTGAAGTTGGGGTGTTTGATATCGGAGGTGAGACAAGAAGCTCCAATAGTCATACTTTGCTTATAAGAGACATTATAGCTATCTGACTGATAAGAGGTGTGTCAAAAAATAGTATCAAAACCGCTGTATAACGGGACCGAAGTGTAGTTAGAACTTAGGTCTAGAGAATCTACGTAGTCCACTTTTTTATCTAGCTGATATAGCTAGAGGTGATCATGTAGCGCATGCGCATAAGCAATCGTGCACCCACCTGTGATGTGAGGGTGGGTTGTTATTTGGCAACTCACAGAACGTGCACATAATCACAGAATATTGCTACTTGTGTATTGTTAACTCGTATTAGTGTTGCAAAATGGTTATTTGTTATTACCATGGTTATAAGTACAAGTAAGAAAAACGCTTTTAGCCAAGTTAGCGTAACTCAGTCATGTGCATTTAGATTTGCATAAGGTGAAGGCATGAGAGAGCTATGCCCTCACCTGTAACGTTAGTCAGTCAGTCAGTCAGATTGAGAAATTAGTGGTTTTTTCTCTCCCAATTTTCTCAAGTGCTTTGGTGGCTTTTTACACTCAGTTGGTTTCTTTACTACTCATCAGTGTGTATAACGTACTTATAAAGTTTTGATTAGATGCTGCCTGCAGTGTGTTTGTGATTTCAATTTATAAAAGTAAACAAAAAACTTGTCAAAAAGGAAGTAAATATTGGGATGGCTAATATCAATCATTCACAAAGAATGCAAACAATATAGTAGGGATGGCATTTACATCATTCCTACATAATAAACACAGGCAGACAGTGTAGTAGAATGTTAAAAGACAAAAATAGGATAAACTCAATTGTGACTGAATAGTTATATATATTGCTATATGTTAATTCTTGCCTGTGCTATTATGTAGGGATGACGCATATGTCATTCGTACTATCTTGTTTGCATTCTTTGTGAAGGATTGATATTAGCAATCCCTACATTTACTTCCTTTTTTTGGACGTTATTTCTTCACTTGTTAACTATATTCTTGTGTGCCAGCAATACCAAGCATGGGGCGCGCGTATCCCCGATTCGATTTTATTACTCATCAGCTCTAGCAACCTACACCCAAATCTAATTATATATATATCACCTTATAAACTTTCATTTAGGCATAAACATAAAAGCTCTTTAGAGTTTATGTAAAATTTGTGTAAACTATGTAAGGATTTTACAGATCTCTATACTCGCGCGTTGATAGAATACCTATGGAATAAAAACTATCAAACATTGTAGCATACATGGTCTAAAAAATGCTAATTCTGTCATTGTTATAACCTTTCACGAATTTTTTCGGAGTGAGTGATAGTCAAATCTTAGTTTGTGAAAAGTGATTCAGAACAAGGCAGTGAGTTTTTTTTTTTTGCCAGGTTCCTTATTTCCTTTCTTACTGCTTTATTATTCATTTTTATATATTCGGTTTCCCCTGTCTCTTTGTTAAGACTAACTCGTCAACTATACTCTTTGATTCGTGTTTTCTGACCATAGTCGAATGATGACAGCTGCTATTTGAAAATGTGTGCATTCCTAACCGTTACATACATGGAATAATTTTCTTTATTTTTCTTCTTATCACAAATGTGTCTAATATTTACAAAGTGTATTCCAAAACAAAGGATAAGAATGAACAATAGTGATTTTAAATATGGAATAACCTCTTTCAATAAAAATAAAACAAGGGATAAATAAAAAGGTTTTAGCTTTGTCAGTGTTCATTAAGTTCTATTCAGGGGAAGAAGATTCATTGTGTCTTACTAGGTTCGGGAGTCATGTCTGATGAATTTAAGAAGCCACACATGCAGATCTGACAAAAAATGTAATTTTTTTTTATCTATACCGGAAGATATATGAGCGTTTGAAATTATGTAGCAAATGGTGTCATGTTTCCTTAATTTTATGTTACTGCTAAAACATTATCCACATTATATGTATATTAACACATAATATGCCACAGAGACCATTCAACAGTGTTGGGAGCTCAATAGTACAGCACTAGGATTGGCTGAAAGCAGTGGTGTAGCTAAAAAATATGTCCCCCTAATATAAAGTAATTGAACCCCCTACATTTACTACCCTTGTCGGCAATTCTTAAATTTCTCAGGTCCTTCGGACCTCCTTTTGGCTCGATGATCTCCGCAATTGCGGTGAATGCCATTGGCTAAAAAATATGCCAAAACATGACACACATTTAAGCGTTAGAAACTAACTGTGCAACACATTCAATACTGCATGTACTGTGGTTACATGTGCCTCATACAACATTTAAGGTCTGTAGAACACTGATACTTTTTCAACATGGGTATCAAACGGCTGGTCACAGTTTCGAAGTGCTGTCGAAAATGGGTCTAGAGGCAGGAACGTGAACATTTCAGTTGCTATTTGTACCAAGTTGGGTTGAATCTCAGTAGGTTATCATTATGCTCTAAGCTACATTATTCATGTAGTGTGTGTGTGGGATTTACAGGTGAAGTATTTTTATGTCTAAATTCTCTCGCATATGAAGGGACCTAGAATGAATACATTTCCGGGACCTGATCGGCGTTATTAGTTAGCAGAACGATATTTTCCATTAGTATGATGCTACTTGACACAAAGCATGACTCATGTCATGTTACAATGTAACAATATCAATGTCTGGAATGTATATCAAAGAATCCAGATTTAAAATCTTTGGGGCCATCTGCTGGGGTTAGTTTAAGTATAGTATCTTAAATTGTCCGTAGGATGTAAATATAATTAGAATAAAAAGAAAATATATTAAATTGTTCATAGAACGTAGATCCTATTAGAATAAAAACGTAATATATTAGCTTGTAATTAAGACATAGACAAAATATAGTATTTTAGGTTGAGCGCACTATATAGATATTAAGAAATGGAAATATAATAATTTGACTTGTCATCAATACATAAACGTTATTCAAGGAACCTTAGAACGTCGATACTATTAGATGAAAAATGTGGTATTGCAGTAACTTTGTACAAGTACGTTGATTTATTTTACGTTAGTTAATGTCATTTCTAACGTAGGCATACAGCAAATTAAGGCAGTGTTTAAGTTTGCAGAAATGTTAGAGACAGAAATAAAGTAATTTATTGTCCTTATTTATGGTCTGGACGTTTATTTTCACAGATAATTTACAAGAACCCTCCAACGAAATAATGATTTTACAACAATATGTTAGGATATAACTTCAAGCCATTTTATGAATTGATTGAACAATAGCAACACAACTTTCCTCATGTAGTGGCTAATAAGAGTATCCATTGTGCACAAAACTATAAAAGCTAATTAAGTAATTAATAAACATTTTGATAAATACAGAAAATATACTCGTATTTTACTCATAATATCCAGTACATAACCAAACTTATAGAAATCAAAAATGCACATAATATAGTGTAAACACTCAAACTTTAACACAAATCAATTATAATCACTCACATATAAAATGCAATGACAAAAAATAAAATAAATAGAAACCGAGAGACCTGTAAGATGTTGACCACAGAATTAACTAACTGTGATATCGAAAGGGAGATAGAAGTTAAGTATTATTTAATATAGACGTCGTAAAGTTAAGATATCAAAACTTTAGAAAAAAATATTAAATCTAAAATTCAGATCTGTCACTTGAAAAAACTAAAATTTTTCTTTAAAGATTTGTAATAAGTTAGTCTTAGTTGACAATGACCTTTAATGCACTGGATTAAATTTTATATTTCATAGGGACTGTTGATGGGTTAATATGGCTACGAAGTATGATATAAGGCACACCAAGTTCAAACCTGCAATGAAAAATAAAGACTATTTAGAAGCGCTTCTAAGAATAAGTTATAATTTAAGAATTAGCTTAAAAAATTATTATTTATTTATAATCCACTTTTTATAAAATTGAAACATATAAAAAAATGTGAAAATGCTATAAAAGTGGTATATTACGTATAAGTTATGTATTAAAACATTAACGTGGTAACAACTTGGGAGTCCTTTTTATGAAAAGCTGAAAATGTAACCAGAATCTGAACAAATTCAAAGACATTCAGCTGTCATGTACATCTCCCAAAAAGTATTTACTAACATGCCTCCCCCTATAACATGTTATAGCTACCGAAAGAGGATAAAAAAGTCTAGTGAATCTTAGCAAGAAATTTCTACTGCTGATGGTGATTCTAGTTAGCCTTTTTTGAGACCAAATGTTTCCCTTTTTGTTTATATGCCATCTGCGATTGGGCAAAATTTTCTAGTGTTGTTGTCCCTGTAGATCACATGATTCTTGTTCTAAAAACATCATGAAAAGGTTACTCACCAAATACTTTGTTGAAATTGTCAAGAGTTGTGAAAATAATCTTGAACTGATTTAATAGCAGCTATCCAAAAATCTCGAGTTACCTAAGTGCCTTTTTTCAGTTATCATACTGCACCAAATGGAAAATGAGAAATGTTTCAAGAAATTTCCAGCTGTCAGAGCAACATGTTTGTGATCTTTCCATGGTTCAAAACACTGATTCTACATTATATCTTAGAGAAGCTACACCAGAAAGATCTTTTTGGGAAACCTCAAATGACATCGTATATTTAACACTAATACAGGATAATTTTGCATCAAGAAAGTGTGTACAACATGTGGGCCTGTCAAAATAAGTTAACTTTTTACCTCAGCCAAATATATATAAAAGTGAGGATCACTTCTAGCAAAGCATAATTTTATGAATGAACTGTTAAAGACAAGTTTTACTTCTTTGTATTTTGCTATAAAAAAGAGATTGTTAGTATTGCAATTAAGAGTTGTAAGTAGGTAAAGTTTAAAAAGTGAAAATAGTTTCTCTGCTATCCTAAACTATATCTTACAATATTTAGAAAGCAACTAACATTATGTAGTAAAGTATAAATACAAATGAAAAAAAATATTAACAACTATTTTTTTATAAGGCTTGCTAACATTATCATACATAACCACATTTGAAATATGTTTTTTTTTGTTTTAACATAGATGCTGAGAAAAATAAAATGGGATTGATGCAACTGGTACCAACAACCAGGAGAGCAAGTTTTTTGAAGTTATGAAAAACAGTATGTTTGATCTAGAAGCATTTATTAAAAGAATTTAGCCCCCAGTGGCATGTCTGTGGACTTGCAATGCTAGAAACTGGGTTTTGATACCCGTGGTGGGTAGAGCATAGAGAGCCCATTGTGTAGCTTTGTGCTTAACTTCAAAAACAAACAAAAGAATTTAACACCTTACCCATCACTTGGCCAGAATATTAAAGCAGGGTACTGGTCAGGCACTTCAATACAGGCATCAAAGTAGGCAAACAGAACACAACCTGAATAGGCAGCAATTGCTATCAGCAAGTGCCACGCTCCATGCAAGTACGGAAAGTTCAGGGAAGACCACATCTCGCAAAAGAGTCTGTCATTGATCCAACAGCAAAGTGCCAGGACCCACAAAAAAGCAGATCGAATACCCAGTCGAAAGACTCGTGGATTGTTACACCTAAGATGAAAAACAAAAACAAATCACTCTTCTAACATTCAAGCAGGCACACAAAACATCTTGAAAATTAGTGGTTTATGGAATATCTTATCTAGAGGTCAAAGTTTAAGATGTGTTCCCTTCAACTTTCTAGTAAGACAATTACTGATTAAATAAGGGAATATTTCTTTAATAGATTTTCATATTAACTCTTTCATACATTATGGAAAAGAAGAGATAATGGGTAGACTTGTTTATTGTCTTTTTTAGTGCAGAGCTACAAATAGGTTATCTGCATGCTGTCCACTATGGGAATAGAACCCCAAATTTTAGCATTGGAAGTCTGTAAACTTATTGTTGACTCACTGGGGAATTTATAGCCAGACAAAATGTGTTTTATATATATTAAGTATGCAGAAGAAACAATTCCTAATAAACCTGAAGCTACCAAAAATAAATAAAGCTGTGTTAATGTTTGTTTATTAAACAGATATTATTTCAATAAAAATAGTGGGTAAGCTATATCTTCTATGATGCTTCACAAATCTTCAATAATTGTTTCACTTTATATGCTGCAGCTTTAACATTAAGATCAAATTATTTTCAGGCCTGCCAACTCTAAATATTCTAAGTGATATATTTAATAACGTCAGACATCCTAGCTATATAGTAACTCAGTGGCGATCATATGAAACACCACTTGATAGCTCAGAAAATAAAGGTTGCAGTGCTCATTCAGTTTACAAATGTCTTCTAGCTTTTAGCATTTGACTCTAGTAGTACAAACAGTTCATGTTCTAGGCATTACATCTACTAACATCAGCTGTACTAACTGTGTAATAATTATGTAGCTATCACACACTGTCCTACTGATATCTCACTGTGAAACACTGCTTAATAGCTCACTCAGAAAGTAAAGAATGACTAATTTATTGATTAACTAATTTCAGGGTTTTTGGGTGTCCAGGGACTCCCACATTTTGACAGCACTTGGACCCTGCTCCTGTTTGGCAGAATGACAAGTTGATTCAGAAAAGTCACCTTCTAGCTCTGCATGACCCCAGGATTTTCCATGATCCATTGTGGTTCTAGCACCATGCCTCCCCCTCTCAGTGGAGGTCTATTCTGCCACATGGATCACCATCTTCACCGTTCAGTACTCAGTGTCTCTCTTGGCAAAAAGATGTCTCCAACTAATGGGCTTCATCTATCAGCAAAATCTCCAGTCTCTTCTTGCCCAAAGCTGGCAATGACCATTGGTTGGGTTGAATCTCACTGGTTGGCAATTATCTGAATGCTCTATAGAAACCTCCCCATTCATACAGAAAGACACTATTATGACCTTCAGTCATCCATACTTTCTGTGAGCTGAGAGTTACATTCAATAATACTCTCTCAAATGGTGGCTTACTTTTTACCTCAAACTTTTTCCCTTAGTCGTAAGTCTTCATCTGGAAAATGCCAAGCATTACCAATATACAGAACTTATGCTGCACTAAAGTACAAAAACAATGCAGAAGAGTATATCATTGAGAAAAACAGACAAACTCTGTGAAAACAAATTCTGTAGTCATGGCATTGAAAGAAACCTTAATCCTTTATTTTGTGGTATTCTCAGGTGCACTGATTTCTTTATGTGTAACAGTATCACTGCAATAAAGGGTGCTTGACTCGCAATCTGTGGTTCATGAATTCGAATCTCCGTCACTGAATATGTTTTCCCTTCAGAGTTGCTGTCAGGACCAGCTACCTGAGTGTAAAAATTCTTGGCTAGTATGAACTACTCAAGTGGCCAAGGTTGAGTGAAGAAGTAGCAGCACTGCAAATAATAGGAGATTAGCAAAAAATGTAATGTGTGAGTTAAAACTGAATTTCTGAATTGACTGAGTTTAAGAAAACCAAGTGAAAAGTAATCTTTGATTATAACACAAATCTTAGACAAGGGTATAAAGAAAAGGGACATCACTTCTTTCTTACTGTCAAGATATCTTAAGAAGTTCCGGAGGAAGACTGAAATAATATAGCAATTTATACACACAAAAAAAATGTATTATCACTTTAAGAATGCAGGATATACCCAAGTTATTGGTCACTTCATTGGTTACAGTAAGGAGTATAAAAATTATTAAAAATTCTAAAGTTAGATAAGGCAATGATGTAAAGATAGCAGATATAGATGATTGAGTAATTTATATTAAAATAATTTTGAATAAACAAATCAGAAAGTTAAATCACAACCAGCCAATATAAAGTTGTAGTGGAAAGGTAGATTTCAGAAGTACATTTTGACAGTGTTTGACATTTTGTAAGTGGTGTGATACTATTGAAAACTGGTTACTTTTGGGAAGTGTAACAGTCCTTTCAAATGTAAAATATTCATACACTTAGATTATAGTGTGATCAGATCGACGATTTAGAATTACCAAGATGTATATCCCTTTTACTTCGTGGCACTAGAAAACAGATCAACTTGGATCACCAGTACCATTCAAAAATAACCTGCAACAAGTCATACCCTAATTACATTAAACAAAGCACAGCATCTTGTTACAGGTGAGAATCCATGAACACATGGGCAATGGCAAAAGCTGTCTACATGCTCCAGCCAAAAGCAAGCAACATAATCAAGAAGGATTTCCATCTGGAAAAGTGACACAAATTACATTTACACAAGTTGCTTCCATGATATGTTTGTTCAACTGTTGCACATCTCAAGCAGCTAAGAGAACAAAACGGGTGTTCAGGCTCTTCCATATAAAGACAAATTAGTCAAGTCACCTATGGATTTCAGTAACTGGGCTGTTGAAACAGGCATTGGGAACCCATTGTTCTTATAAATTAAACAGACTATGGAAAGTCTTCAGGGAGGAATCGCATACTTTGGTCATGACAGCTTTAGGAATAGAGCCTTTGTAATGGAAACTATGCTGCAGGGTTGTTGTCAAGATGCACTACAGAATGTGGCAACATGGACTATAATGATGTGATGAGGCTTGAAAATTGTATTAATATAACATACTCAACTTCTGTAGAAGATCAAACAAAGACAAACACCACCTTCATGAGAAATCCCAAAAACATTTGCTTGGGACATACTCCTTGATCATGTATAATAAGCACATGACATAAGGCCATTATTGATTACTTGTATGTGAAAAGTTCACATACATTTTAGAAGTGCATATACCTGAAGATTTATGAAAATTTTAAGATAAAGTAGTTTTTACGTTTCTCAAATAATAGAGGAAGAAAACATGGTACTTTCTCAAGCACCATACAGTCTTTATCAACAGAATGCTAAATACTACAACACATGAAGGAAATCCTATACATATGCCAAAGTGTATTATAAGTCATCATTAAAGTAAGTCATTTAACCAATAGTAAGTCAGTATGTTAGTTTCACAGATACACAAACTCAGAACATTGATCAAATAGGTATCACTCATTACCACACATTTCCAGGGCAAATTAAAATGTTTCTGTGAAAGCAATGTCAGAAATTTGAATTTATAACAAAAACAATACACACTAATTTAATATGCAATGTAAAAAACAAAAACAATCAAAACAAGATAACTGTAAATGGTTTGTATGTTAATTAGTACTTGTTACACCAAAATAAAACTAGATAACTCATGAATACAAGTGAAAGCCTTTACAGCAAGAAAACTGTGAGAGTAGTATAATGTTTTATGTCCATAAGTGGCAGCAAATCAGCAGTAAGGAATTTTATAATAAAAGTAGAAAATTATTCAGCAATTAATAGTAAGAAAGTGAAATACTATTTAAAAATAAATATACACCACTAACAGTACAGAATTAAAAAAAAAAGAGAAAGAGGAAAAAAGTAACCCTACAAGAAGAAACAGAGAGAGTGTGGAATGTTGTTTGAATTGTTAATGCCACAAAACCAATACTACAAAATTTAAACAAAAGAAATAGTGAGAAGGTGTTACACTGTTTATTTGGCAAGACCAACAGTATAAAACTTTTTGTAACAAGAAGTACTAAAAGACTGGCATACCGTTTAATTCACTAATGTGTTAAGACAAAAGTAACAAACTTATTTGCAAATAATTTTAACTCCAGAAACATGAAAGAGCAAGAGGGTGGTATTCTCAAAAAACCTAAAAATAAGCCAAGCATATCATATAAATGTAGTGTTAGGAAACTGCTATATTTCACCCTTTCATAACTCAGAAAAGAATGTATCTTAATTTTGTAAAGATGTTCTGTCATTAGCTAACATCCTTTTCAACAAGATATGAATAGCTGTAAAAATGTATTAATTTTGACTTGGGCTTAAGGATATACATATGACAGTGACTACTACATGCAGTTAAAACTGCTTGGCTGTACTCTTATGTCACTGCACCTCTATGGTGTGAATCATACAAAATGGGATGGTGGAATAAGAGTTTCAAAATGCTAGTAGCAGCTGGAGGCTACTCTTCTCTGGAATATGTATAATAAAAATGGTCAATAACTTACGGTTATCTAGGATTATGGGAGCCATGGTATGAGAGAATAGTGTGGTAGACAGTTTTTGTTTTTACCATGTGGAAAGAAGTGGTTGATTCCTCTTTGCTCCAGTGGCTTGTCAACAAAAGCATTGAAGCCAGCTAGCACCGTGGAGTAAAAAATCCCATTGTGTCTCACATATGTACTTGAGTATGTTCTTTTGCTCTCATTGTTCAATTTATTATTTTTGAAACACTTCCCGAACATGCTGTTAATTGCAGATCTTTACAGGTACTTGTTGGACAACAGTTAACCTGAATACTAAGTTAATAAGAAACATTTTAGTGTATGACCAAAAATTAAATTTTTGTTTATTTTGAATGCACATCCATGGGTTCTACTGAGTGTAAGGTAAGGCCAGTTCCAGGTGTCTTTGGGTCGGCAGGGGAATCCAGATCCTCAACAAACAGAAAAATCCTTAGTGTAAGGTTGGTCATTGTTAATTTTTTCCTTTCAGTGAGAACTTAATGAAAATGAAGGCTTCAGCACCCAACAGA